ATAAATGTATATATACATATGTATAAATATAATTTAATAAATATTTTGCACTTATGTACATCGAGAATTTTCAAGATAAATCAATTCTATATATACAATGTAATTAATGAAATAATATGATAGATTGTGAAGATGAAGCTAAATAAAACATTCTTAAGCTTTAGTTCTTAAACAAGCACAGTCTATAGCTATTAAGAAACTGATATTATAAATAGGACGCTTAAACTATTAAGAATTTAAAATCTCTGAAATTTATGCGTTAAAGATGAAAATGTGCAGGGGCACTGAGTAATATGAATATCTCATGAGCTTGTTGACGCCTACTTTCATGCAACACATATAAATGTCAGCAATAACCCATTAACCTTTTTACCCATTTAAAATAGATTTAAAAAAAATTTTTTGCTTGGAAATTACTTTTGGTATGTGCTCTATTCCCTAATAGGCGACATACAGCTGCACAGATCTCCACGCTCTCTTTCTGGGTTTGTTGCACGCATTTTGAACTGATTTGTATGCGAGTTGCATGCAGCGAAATGTTGAGAGCCCATCACGTCCTTGCCACCAAAACAATGCATTCAGCGAGGCCGAGCAACAATTCGATATAATAGCAAATAATAATGCGGCAAGAACTAGGCCAGAACACTGTGAAAAAGTGGCTAAATGCAGGCGAACTCATTTCTATACGGACTTGGCCACATTCGTTGAGGGTTGTTGTAGGGTTAATCCGCAGCCAGACGACGCTAGGCACAGGTGTGGCACAGGTTGGTGGCAGATGGCAGGTGGCAGGTGGCAAGTGGCAAATAGAGACACTTGGACATCGTTATGGCTGGTCATGGGGGAGGCGCTTTGCGTGTCTGTCACAGATTTGGGGGTTGGCTCCAATAACTTTCCCCTTCGTTTTGTGCGGTTGACCATACACACACATATTGATTTTTATTCTATTTTTTAGCCCCCGCCATTTTTTTTTTGCCTGTTTTGATTAATATTTTGCCCATTTCCTTGCAGTATCTAGACGGTGTCCGGTGTGAAAGGTTCTGACCAACAACAATAAAAAATAAAGAAAAAAAAAAAAATGGCATCCGGCGGCTTGACATGTGTCAAATATATAACTTTCTTTTGCAATCTGCTGTTTGCGGTAAGTTGGCAGAGTGTGGATAATAAATGAATAATAGACCATTATAAATCTCTATATGTCTCTTCCTATAGCTCACGGGTCTATTGATCCTGTTGGTGGGGGCAATGGTGCAGCTGAACTATGCTCATTATTCGAACTTTGTGAGTGATCATATCTGGACGGCGCCCATTATACTGATGGTTGTGGGCGCCGCTGTGGCATTTATCTGTTTCCTGGGCTGCTGTGGCGCATTGAAGGAGAACAGCTGCATGATACTCAGCTTCGCCATATTGGCGGTTATAATATTCCTTTTGGAAATTGGTCTGGGAATCGCTGGCTATATCAAGCACGCGGGCCTGCCGCAGCTAATGGAAACACAATTCAATACGACCATGAAGAACTATAAGGAACGCGATGACTATCGTGATGCCTGGACTTTGCTGCAAACCGAATTGGATTGCTGTGGCACAAACGGGCCCAACGACTGGGATGCCATCTTTCCCAACAAGACTTTGCCCCCAGCCTGCTGCAAGGTGATCAATCTCAGCGAGGCCAAGGAGTGCACCACCTTGCATGCCGTGCAGCAGGGCTGTCTGCAGAAGCTTTTGCACATACTCGACTCAAAGACTTTGATACTGGCCGGCGTGGTGCTCGCTGTGGCAGGCATACAGGTGAGCGAGATATATGCTATATATATTATGATTAAATGACGCTAATTTCTCTCTTCTATTCTGTTATTTAGCTGCTCACCATACTATTTGCCTGCTGCTTGTATCGTTCGTTTCGCCGCAGCTACGATCACGTTTAGGCTGCGTAGCGAGGATCCCATCTATCGATTTTAAAAGCAGAAAGCAAGACAGCCCCTTAGTGTAGTCTGTAGTTTTGTCACATGCATGCGATATAACTCGTTGCCGTCTCTCAAGAGAATATTATATAATAATTATAATACTCAAACAATAAGAAAACACACAAATCACAACACATTCTCAACTCACAAATTCATAACTTGCATTTTTGTCAATCACTGTTAGCCCAGCATTCTAAGATTTAGTTTTTTAACTATGCATATACATACATATATATACACATATACTCGAAAACTTGTTAATGTTATTCCCAGCTCAGTTGCGCTGAGCTCTATATACATAAGATACTCCAACTTGTATATCTCATAAATATCTACCTATGTTTTATTGTTTTTTCATATTAGTTATTTTTACTTACTCCATTCCCATTCACGCCATCGCAACATACCCAGTAGGCATATCAATCCAACCACATAACTGTGTCATCTATTTACACTTTATACCGACTGTTTCGAAATTGATTTTACAAAGTGTCCTTGAAACAAAAGTTTTGATATGTAATGTACATTTAATTGTATTTTCAATTTTTGCAATGTATATGCGTGTGTCTGTGTGTGTATGGCCTCTAGCCCTAACCTAAAGAAATCCCACCCATTTGCTAATTGTTCTCTTTTATATACCCTGTAGACCTTGATGCAATTTATTATATACACATGAACAGAACACTGCATTTTACACACACACGGCAATATTTTTAGCAATACACAAACATGCCCAATATACATATATATGTATATTAATTGATATATACAATGAATATCTATGTGACTGTATTTTTATTCGTATTCATATTGTAAAGTAAGATATCGAAAAAAGACATTTGGGAGAATTTTACATATCTTGGCAAGTCCTTGAAAAAAAAGAAAGAATCTGAATTAGAGTAAAAAAAACTGAAAGCGAATTTACAGTTTCAAATCAAGATAATTTAAATTAAATTAATTAAGCAGTGTGCTTATTGAAAGCAAGTCTCAAACTGAAAACTAAATATGCATATTACAATGTTAGATTCTGTAATCTGAAATGAAAAAAAAATTCAAGCAATTGTCTTAAATAGCACGATTTTTTAATTCTCAATATGCATTTCAAATATTTATTTTAAATATAATGTGAGTTCAAATGATTGTGCAGCACTGAAAAACTTATGAATCAATAAACGAACAAATGATAAAAATAATTTATTCTGTGTGTAAATTAATTTTATATAGCGAGTAAAAGCTGATTTCTGTTGGATGAATTGTCAAGTATGTCAATTGCGGTGCAGCTTAAGATTTGATTATCAATGTATACATATATGGAATATGTATACTCTACGGACAGAGGTGAAGGATCGTACTCTTAGAGAAAACTCAAATTGCTAAAAATAAAATAGGTATTTTTTATAATTAAGTTATTCCATTATTAGCAAGTCTATTAGAGAATCGAATATTTTCTCTACATGTTATTTATTTACTTATTTAGTACTTTTTCACCTTTTTATTTTTTATTTGGTAAGGTTTATCAAATGTTCATGCTTCCGTTTTTTGTTTAAATTTTATAGCTTGTTCATCAATATACATTTAATTTTAATTTTAAACTATAATTTATTTTTATGAAGTTTCTCATTTCTTAAATTTTTAGTATGGATAATAAATATTTGTCTATGCTTATTTCCCATAAGCAAAATATATATTTTAACATACTTATTTTTTTTTTAAATACATATATTTTTTATTTTTTGGTTTTTTATTTTATTTTTATTTTTTACATTTTTATCAAAGCTTAAAGAAATATATAATATATAGAATAAAATATAAACATATAAAATAAATTTTGATTATGAAAATATTTGATTGCCATTATATTAATTATAAAATATATAACTTAGTGCAAAACTGAAGAATATGTTAAAAAAAAAATTCTATATACATATATTATCTAGTACATTTTTATATCATTCGAAATTCACACCCTCTCTCTTATGTGTGTATCATAGCATTGCGTTTCCAATCAACTTCTTATAATATATGTATACATATACATCACAGTATATGGTTGTCCCTAACGATTTCAGTTTGCTGTTTGTTCAATAATAATAAACAAACCTAACAAGCGCCGTCAACTACGCCAACAAATTCGTTAGACACATTGCAGCAAACAGTAGGAAACGAATTGCGTTTCTGAATATCAGTAATCAACTAAATATATAAATATACATATACATATATATAG